AGTAGTAGTAGTAGTAGTAGTAGTAGTGGTGGTGGTGGTGGTGGTGGTGGTGGTGGTGGTGGTGGTGGTGGTAGTAGTAGTAGTAGTAGTAGTGGTGGTGGTGGTAGTAGTAGTAGTAGTAGTCGTCGTCGCAGTCGCAGTCGCAATCGAACTCGTAGTTGTCGACGATGTTGCGCGGCGGGAGCCGCGGAACAAATAATGATTTACCCCATTATTGGTGGGGCCCCAGTCCTTCAATAAGGCCACTGAACAATAGGTTGTTTCCCCCTATCCGGGGGGGGGGGGGGGTTCTAAAGACCCCCGGGGTTACCCCTGGGGCCTACCCCCAGCCCCAAAGCCAACCCAAAGGGCTTACCCCCAGGGCCTACCCCTAGGGTTTGCCCCCAGGCCCACCCCAGGCCGACCCCTGGGGCGCCGTGGCTGGAACCTTGGCCGCTGCAACACCTCACTGGGGGTACGTCGTCCTGGTGGTGTACGTTCCCAGACCCCCGAATTCATGAATTGTTCATGACGTCGGCCCCCAACCCATTCCCCAGGATCGGTTTCCCATCCTGAGTCGTTTTTGGCGGTTCCGAGGCCCAGTGAGGGCCCCCAGAGGCCGACAGTAGCCAAAAACCTCCCGTGGTGCTTTGTTCATGACTCGAGGGGGTCTGGGTTTGGGCCTTCACGAGGTACGAGGTCGCCGTGGCGGACGCAGGCACCGCGGGCGCGCGGGCGTTGCGGGGCCCCGCGGGGTGCTGCGTCGGGTTTTGTTCGGCGGGCCGTCCGGCTCGCACCCTCCGCCGAGGCGCCGGGCGCTGCCGGAGGTGCCCCAGGGCTCCATGCCCAGCCCGTCGTCTGAGCCCGCTCGGCCGCCGGACGGGTTTGATCTGGAGCTTGTGGTTGCCCCGACACGCCCGTTGTGGTACGCAGCACGTGCCGTGCTCAAAACGTCCGTGTGAGTACGTCGCGTGTTGGCTCAGCGTGTTGGCCCACGTTTTGGCGAACGCGTCGCGCCAGGCCTCGTTTTCAGTCTACGTCCCGAGTTCCGTGTCGACGCGCTATGTGTGGCGTATCGCGGCGGCTAGGATATGTAGGCCACTCGGCGGCCGAGTGGGCTCAGACGCCGAATGGGCTCAGGAGTGAGCCCTGGAGAAGTCCTGGCCTGGCGTGTCCCCGGCTTCTCTCGCGCCACCAGGGGTCGGGTTATCTGGGGTTCGCACGCGTCGACTTTTGCGTTGTCTTCGGATATCGCTGGAGATCCGATTCGATGTCAGATTCGGCTGGTGCAGTCGGTCCTGGGCAAAGCTCCGCGACACCGCACTCGGCAGTCACTGACGATCGGCGGCGAGCCCGGGGGGGAAGTGAAAAGGGGCGGGCCTTCTCAGAAGGCTCAGAAGCCCCTCGGCCTTCTGAGGAGTTGCTTAAGCTTTCCCCGAACACATAGCAAACCTCCCAGAAGGCCCGAGATCTTCCGAGAAGCCCCGCCGCCTTCTGCCTTCTGCGAAGGCCTCCTCCTCTTCGCACTTCCCCTTCGGGCGCGCCGCCGAGAGGAGGTACTTTTGAAGCCGGCCGTGTGGCGGATGCAGGCGCCGCGGCCAGGGGTGTGCGGGGTCCTGCGGGGCCCTGCCCCGCCGGGTCCAGGGCAGCTCCCCCCCCAGACGCTGGAGGAGGCCCCCACCCAATCTCGGCGTGAAGTACGAAGCACGAAGAACGAAGCTTGCCGCGACTTGGCAAGATGGCACCGGAGAAGGCAGAAAACGCGGGACTGGAAAGCCATCATTGACAAAACGACTCCTCGTAAGTAGTAACGGCGTTATTTAGTTGTTCGGCCTCAGGAGGCCTCATCGAGCTCCAGACGCTCCGAAAAACGACCCAGAGTCAGAGTTGGGACCCGTGGGAAGGGGTGTAGACCTCTCGGGGTCCACGTAGCGAAAATCTCACGACGTCGGAGAAGATGCACTGTCGTAACTCGCCGTCCGTTGCCGCTTCAGGGCCTCTTTCGCGCAATGCAGCGTTGCGCGCGTTGGGACTGCTTGGGTGTTAAGGCGCCGGCAGGCGGTAGGCGCTTGTGCGCCTGTTACAGAATGCCGCGCGCCGATCCGAAAACTTCGCGCGAGGCCTGGCCGACGCCCTGACACCGCGCGCAGTCTGCGACCGCTGCCTAAAGCCAGGGGTTAAGTGCCACTGGCGCTCGGCAGGGGATGGAACGATGGACGAGGAGAAGGATCAGCAGCAGCAGCGGGGAGAGGAAGGGGGAATACCAAGATGAGGAGGAGCAAGAGTAGCGATGACGAGGAGTTTGCATCGCATCAACATGGAAGTAAGCGTTGATTGCATGGTGTCCGCACCAACCATGCACGACTTACGGAACCACAATACCATCATCACAGTAAGTTAAGATGTACGCGTTGAGTGAACATAGCTGAAACCATACAACAACACGTGCTTGAACTCAAAATAACAATACCAATGCTAATTCCAACACGTAACAATCCAACACGGCATTTCCTTGGCGAAGGTCCCAAGCATGCAGAATACAGTTGTTGCGGGTATCGCCTTCGGGGGTCTCCTCTTGGGGCCCTGAAGCGTGCGAAGGGAATCCCGATGTGGGGCGGGGCCGCCATGTGGGCGCTGCCTTTAGTGCCTTAGGCGGAACCCACTAGCCGCGACAAGTGTGAGGGGTGCGCCGCAATGGGGCGGGGCCGCCACTGGGGCCTTTGGTGGAACTCCGTATAGGGTATCGAAGCGCTGTACTGGGTGGGGGAAACGCTTGCGAGTGCAGCCGCTGGGGCCTTCGGTGGAGCTCCCCATGGGGCCACGACGCGCTGTGCTGGGCGGGGGGGAAGCGTGCGAATACCGCCACTGGGGCCTTCGGTGGAGCTCCATATGAGGCCACGAAGGGCTGTTCTGCGCGGGGGTGGCGCATGCGGGCGGTGCCACTGGATCTACCGGTCCCGCTCCCTATGGGGCGACGAATCGTTGTACTGGGTGGGGATGCCGCATGCGGGCGGTGCCACTGGGGCCTTCGGTGGAGCTCTCCATAGGGCCACGAAGCGTTGTACTGGGTGGGGGTGACGCATGCGGGCGGTGCCACTGGGGCCTTCGGTGGAGCTCTTCATGGGGCCACGAAGCGCTGTACTGGGTGGGGATGCCGCATGCGGGCGGTGCCACTGGGGCCTTCGGTGGAGCTCTTCATGGGGCCACGAAGCGCTGTACTGGGTGGGGTGCCGCATGCGGGCGGTGTCACTGGGACCTTCGGTGGAGCTCCCAATGGGGTCACGAAACGCTGCACTGGGTGGGGGTGACGCATGCGGGCGGTGCCTCTAGGGCCTTCGGTGGAGCTCCCCATGGGACCACAAGACGGTGTATTGGGTTGGGGTGACGCATGTGGGCGGTGCCACTGGGGCCTTCGGTGGAGCTCTTCATGGGGCCACGAAGCGCTGTACTGGGTGGGGTGCCGCATGCGGGCGGTGTCACTGGGACCTTCGGTGGAGCTCCCAATGGGGTCACGAAACGCTGCACTGGGTGGGGGTGACGCATGCGGGCGGTGCCACTAGGGCCTTCGGTGGAGCTCCCCATGGGACCACAAGACGGTGTATTGGGTTGGGGTGACGCATGTGGGCGGTGCCACTGGGGCCTTCAGTGGAGCTCCCTATGGGGCACCGAGACGGTGTATTGGGTTGGGGTGACGCATGCGGGCGGTGCCACTGGGGCTTTCGGTGGAGTCTCCAATGGGGCCACGTAGCGCTGCATTGTGTGTGGGTGACGCATGCGGGCGGTGCCACTGGGGCTTTCGGTGGAGCTCACCATGTAGCCACGAAGCGCTGAACTGGGTGGGTGTGGGTGTGATGATGCTGATTCTGATGATGATGAGGAAGGATTGAGGGACGCGGGGCGCTGTCTCTTCAAAACGAGGGCCCAACACCACAGGATGGTTGGGACAGTTAGCAAATAACTAGATTATACCCCAACTACAACATAACAAACAACTAACCAACGTATAACCATCGTATAACCAAAGATGGCCGCAGACAGATCGTCAGGCGCCGCGAACAATTATATTCCTGGCACGCTTGTAAAACGTGGAAGGATGCCCCGAGCCACAACGACGACGTCAGGGACGCGCGACATTGTGAAAACGCCGCGCGAAATTTCACACCGCGCGAATGTAACCGCGAACTTTCGCGAAGCAGTCGCGCTCATCCCGGGGCCAGGTCAAGCCAATCGACGCAGCTGAGGATCCAGGACGGTGGAGTTATGATATTGTTCAGATGCCAGGTACACGACCCCGCGACAGGTTTCCCAATGTAGTCAAAGACGTTTCGAGCGTTCAGCCTTTTCCCTGTTTTCCCTTGCGCGTCAGGGCTACCAGGGTTTGCCAGTGTTCCGCCCCATCGCCATTGATGTCAAAGCCATGGGCCATATTTTCTGCCGCTGGGCGCGTTCTTGGGGCGCGTTTGGGGCCACGCGAGACGTCCAGAGTCGCGCGCGGCGTGCGGGCGAGATCTCAGCTTGGCGCAGCGCCCGCAGTAGGAACAACGGCTGCGCGCGACGGGCGGTGTTTGATGCCCTTGCTCCAGGCGCGTTCGGCCATGTCGGCGCAAGGGCGCCCGTGCGGCCGTTGCTGCATTTTCGCGCAGCCCGAGTCGATTCCGCATGAGTGCCAGGGATTTTGCGCCCTGTGTGTCAGCCGCGCTAAATTTTTCAAACGGTGCATGGTCGTCCCGGGGGTTCTCTTCCCAGCGCCTGAACAGGGACAGGTTTGCCGGGTCGCTGGATACCCGTCAGTGAAGTCCCCCCACGAGGGTGGCGCTGAAGTTCTCCCCCAAACGCTGGAGGAGGCGGAAAGGGCATGGGGGAGGGACAACTGGACAATGAAGACCAGGGGAAGAGGAGACATGCCGACAACCGTTGCCCTGCCGCCGTCGCCACGGCTGGATTGGCCTGGAAGTTGTGGCCGGGGCGCACCCTGGGAAAAGGTTTGCAGAACACCTGCCCCGCGCACAGGATGAGGATCGATGGCGTCCCACGATCGGCGTTTGTCCCATGAAGCGCGGCCTCTCTGGCTCAAGCGGCATCTGGGCTCGAGGCGAGCCGGGATGCCCTCGCCCAAGCTGGCGCGTCTGGCGCTCGCGCCGCTCGAGATCCCGTCGGCCGCGCGGCCCTCGCAGCCGCAGTGCCAGCGGCTGCTCGCCATGGACGGCTCTGGCTCTGGTCACCACCCAGACGAAGGCGCTGGCTTGAAACAACTTTTTTCCTTGGCGGCGACGGGCGCGACAGGGGGAGGGGGACGAAGGGTGGGGTCTGATGGGTTTGTTTGTTTTCCACCACCACCACCACCACCACCATAAGTTGGAGGGGGGCTGGGGTCCTCCTCCTCTCCGTCTTCTTCCTCAACTTCTTCATGCTCCACCTCCTTCCCCCCTCCAACTTATGGTGGTGGTGGTGGTGGAAAACAGGCCCATCAGGGGCGGTCACGGCACGATTCGCGCCGGCGCCGTCTGGGAATGCTCAGGATGGTTTCATTTCCACACGGTGCTGGCGCACATCGTGGCGTGACCAAAGGGGGGGTAGATGGGGCCGGGTCCACTCACGGGCGCCCATCTTGATAAAAAACGGGATGTCTTTGGAGGTTCCGAGATAGCGCAGTGACAAAACCAGTCGCTGTGTGGCAAATCAACAGGGATCCTGGGTGACCGCACGGTTTTGGGATTCGTCAAGCAGTGAAGAAGCGTCTTGGCGTGCCTATAGGCCCACCAAACAATGTTCTAATAATCTTGGGGGTTTCCACGAAGTGTTCTTAGAACATTTTTGGCTGGCACTGACTTGTCTTAACACATCGGGTCTATGCTCTAAGAGCGTTGTTTTTGTTCCTAGAGCGTTTTGGGGTTCTAAAAAGATTTCGTGGTAGGCCTATAGAAATGCCGGGACGGTCGGTCCCTGTTCAAATTCGGGTCGTTCTCCGAAGGCGTCTCTGGTGACTGGGGCCTCACCGCCGTGCGGTGACGGACGGTGTGGGGAGGCCTCACGGGGTATCGAGATCACAACACATCTTCTTCAATCCGTCGACCGTCGTCGTCGTCGTCGTCGTCGTCGTCGTCGTCGTCGTCGTCGTCGTCGTCTGCGTCTGCGTCTGCGTCTGCGTCTGCGTCTGCGTCTGCGTCTGCGTCGTCGTCGTCGTCGTCGTCCTCGCGCAGCTTCTTGGCGCCCCAAAAAGATCTCCTGGACGACTCGGCCGCGGACTTCCTGCCCTGCACGGGCGCAGGCTCCAGCTTCCAGGCCGCGCTGCAGGGCGTCGCGGCCGAGCACGAGCGGGAGGTCCAGAGGCTGCAGACGAAGATGGCGGAGCTCCGCGAGCTGGTGATGATGGGCACAGTATGCACCGCCACTACCATGTGTAGGACGGGGGAGAGGGGAGGATGAGGAGGTCCTCCTCCTCCTCCTCCACCTCCTCCTCACTGCTACCTATGGTAGTGGTGGTGGGAAATTTGGCCCATCAGGTGACCCATCTGCAGTGGAAATCCGTGGGGCAGGAGGTGAAGAGCACGAACGTGGAGGTCAGCGATGTCCACGGCTCGCCCCTGGTGGTGAAGACGGTGATGGCCAATGGTCGGACGTTCATGACCCTGGAGCCGCCAGAGCTCGACGTCCATGACCCGGGGGGGTTTTGCACCCCGACGGATTCCTCCAGCGATGATGACTCTGCCGGGAGCCCCGGCAACAATCGTGCATCAGGCAACAAGCGCGCGGTGAACCAGAACGGGCGTGCGTCTCTCTGCTCGAGCCAGGCCTCCTCGATCCAGGTACGCAGGGCGACCAAAGAGCGGCCGGGCGACCGTCCCCGAGGCCGGAGCCTGAAGTACGACCCGTGGGAGGACGGCAACATCTCCGAGGGGGGTGACGCGAAGTCGCCGCGCTTGAAGGAGTACATCCCGCCGCTGCCCCCCGAGTCGGTCAGCCACATGCTGGCACCAGGCAGCTGCTTGAGCACGAGGTCGACCACGGACAAGCAGACGGCGCGGGGCAGGCACGATCCCGAAGGCCCGAGGCGGGGGCCTGTCCATTCCCACCGCTGGGGGGATCGGCCTTTTCGGGGACCTAGGCAGGCGGTGGGTGTGGAGATACTCGGGCCCCCTGGTTCGCCATAGGGGGAGCGGGTCTTGTTGGAAACGGGTCCTAAGGTTTTTCACCATTTTTGGATTCCTGGGGCCCTCCACGGGCCCTAGGACCGTCAGAATTCGACTCAGGATGAAGAATTGATCCTGGCGGAAGGCCCCAGGGTCCAGGACCCGTTTCCCTCAGGACCCGTTCCCCCCATGCTAAGTGGTGCAAGCGTGTATTTGGTAATCCACCGCCCGCAGGGGTCCCAGGACGCCGATTCCCCAGGGGGGGGGGATTGGACGTATCCTGGCCTCGCTGGAGGCGTCGAGAGCAGCGGCAACGGCATGAGCCATGGCGGCCAAGCTGGCACGGAGAAGGAGCAGCAGGAGCTGCTCCTGCAGAGCCAGCAGGACGGCGACGGCAGGAGCGAGTCGCGCTGCCAGAGCGATGGCACCGCCGACGGCGGCGGCAATCACAAGTCCCGGGGGCAGACCACTCTGCAGACGTGCGATTCTGAGGGGCTGCGCCGTCGCACGGTCGACGACCGGACGTCGCAGAGGCTGGCGAGGGAGGTGCTCGAGTACGAGACGAAAGGTCAAAGACTCTGGCGCGAAAGGCAGTCCCTGCAGAGGTCAAAGAGCGTGGTGGAGGCCAACGTCCGACAATGCACTTTCAGGTTGGAGCAGCTCGTTAACCACTGGTCTTTCGATTTTGCTTGCGGGCTGGTGATCATCATCAACACCGTCCTCATTGGCTTGAGCACACAGCACGTGGCAGAGAAGGGAGGAGACAAGGTCGAGTACGAGATCGCCGGCTTGATTTGCAACGCGTTCTTCTTGGTGGAGCTGATCTTGCGGCTTCGGGTAATGGGGATGAGGTTCTTCACCGTCGAGGGTTGGCGCTGGAACCTGTTCGACATGTTCCTGGTGGTGTTCTCCATCCTGGACGCGGTCATCCAGTACGGCTACAATGCGGACGCGGGAGCCGTCGGGCAGAGCATGAAGACGATCAAGATGTTGCGAATTGTGAGGGTGTTCCGTGTGTTCCGTTTCTTCACAGAATTGCGGATCTTGGCGTTGATGATATTGGATTCTTTCAGGTCTCTTGCGTGGGCCCTGCTGATGCTGATTATCATAATGTACGTCTTCGCGATCTGGTTCACCCAAGACGTCGCCAGCCACATCGTCAAGGTCAAGAACGATGGGTTGCCCGTGGACCCTGTGCTCACGGAGTTCTTCGGGAACCTTTTGCTGACTCTGTCCAGCCTGTTCCACGCGATGCTCAATGGTATCAGCTGGATCGAACTCACCAACGGATTGAAATACTCGCCACCGATGCAGGCGCTGTTCTTCTTCTACGTGTCCTTCACGCTGCTGGCCGTGCTGAACATCATCCGTTTGCTTCCGGCAGATCCCGCCACCGTAGCAGCCCTGTATTCTCGGAGGCAACTGCGCGAGGTGCGATATGAGGCCGCAACATGTAATTCGAGCGGCGGTTGGTTTATTGGTCACAGTGTTGGCGCATGTTACGCCTCGGCCGTTTTGAGCTTTTTTGGATCATTCGACGTTTCTGGAGCGGAGTAGGAGGATGAACGAAACGATTCTGAGGAGGGGGGGAGAATGAGGAGGAGGAGGAGGAGGAGGAGGAGCATCATGGTGGACGAGTGCGATGTGGAACATCCTTGGGGCTCTCTTTGACCGTCTTGGGGCCTTTTTTATCCATCTGGGATGCGTCTTTGGGCTGTCTTGTGGTGTGGGGAGGCCCTTGGGTCCCAGTGGAGGCCCTCTCGGACAGCTTGTGTCTCCGTTACGGCCGTCTATGGGCCCTCTTGGGCCATCATGGCCGCTTCGGGGGATTTGTTTCACCAGTTGGAGGCCTCATGGGCCGTCTTGGGGTCATCTTGGAGGCGCCTGGGGCCATCGTGAGCTGAAGGCAGACCGGGAAGGTGACGGCGCGACAACGTAGACAAAGATTTGTATCCGTTTGGCTTCTTCGGGCCATACTGGGGGTCCTCTTACAGCCCTCTGTGTCCGTCTTGTCGGCCTCCTGCCTCGGCCGTCCGGGAAGCTTGGGGGCGCGGATGCATTGCTTTTGCGCAGGGAGCGTGGTCTCGGGAGCGCCGTTCCTCTGTCTTTGACGGCGTGGCCTCGGGAGCGCAGATACATGGTATCGCCAGGGATCATGGCCCCGGGAGCCCATGTCAATTATTTGTCACGAGGGATCGTGGTCTCGGGGGCCCGGGCCCACTGTTTTCTTACAATGGGCGCGTGGCCTCGGGAGGGGGAGGGCGACGAACGCGGCGGAGTGTTTCGGGGGCGGACAGAACCCCCACCCTGACACGTCGATGCATGCATTGTCCGTTTTCGGTTCTCGAGAGGGCGCCGCGGCCGTCATTTTCCAGGGCTTGCGCCCGCCAGGTTTTGGCCCGATGTCGTCTTCACGAAACCACGTTTTACTAAAAGGGGTTCTGTCTATCCCCGAGTGTTGCGAAGAAGGGGAGGTTTAGTAGAATATTACAGAATCCCTAATCCAGACGGCCCTCGGCATTCTGACACCACGCCTCGACGTGCCTTTTTTTGCACAGTGACGGATCACTGGCGTTTTTGTGGACAACGCCGTGCAGACGGCGCACACGCAGAGAGAGTTCTTGGTCGAGAAGCAGATCGAGCAGAAGCAGAAGTGGTTGCAGGAGATGAAGGAGCTCTTCCAGGAGATGGACAAGGACTGGCAGCGAGCCTGGGGGGGGGGAAGTGAGCGGGTCAGGCTTTCTCAGAAGGCGGCGGGGCCTGTCAGGAACCCTCGCGCCTTCTAAGATGCCGTCTCTATCTTCCGAGAAAGCTTATGACATTTTTCAGATGGCGCGAGGCCTTCTGAGAAGCCGCGCCGCCTTCCGAGAAGGCCTGCCCCGGGCCCCCTCTCACTTCCCCAGTGGGCTCGCCGCCGAAAGGAGGGGTGTGGCAGCATCAGCCTCGACACCATCCAGGAGTTCCTGCAGGACGCCCGCGTTGAGTCCTACTTTCAGGCGCTGGGCCTGGAGCCGCACGACACCGAGCGACTGTTCGACCACCTAGACGACGACAACTCGGGGGAGGTGAGCCTGGACGAGTTCCTGCAGGGCTGCCTGCGGCTGAGGGGCCAGGCCCGCAGCATCGACGTTTACTCGGTGATGCACGACGTCAGGTCTCTGACCACCAAGTTCGAGGAGTTGATGGACAGCCTCCGCGTGGTCGGTCGGCTGGCGTCGGAGCACAGCAACGCGCGCCAGAATTTATCGGGTGCCGCGTTCTCGAAGCAGGGGACGGTCACAACGCTGCCAGAGCCCGTCGAGGAGGCCGAGATGCCTACGGTGATCCAGAGGTCCACGAAGCCCGCGCTCATGGCCGACGGCAAGGGCGACCAGAGCTGGACCAGATGAATGGGAAGCCGGCGATGGAGGAGGAGTACGCAGAGTATTTCTAGCGCGTTAGTCGCACCAACTCTTGCGACGGGTAGTGCCGCAAGGGCATTTGGCGGATGACGTCTGGGTAGGGCTGCTTGCGCGCTGAGGCGCCAGCATCGGTCCGTGCTCCGTCAGCCGCCCGTTACTCGCTCATGGGTGTGGAGGAGGTACAGGGTGGAGGCTTATGAAGTCGTCAGTGCAGAAGATGAGTGACACAACTTTTCACTTCCTCGTCTCTGCCTGCAATTCCAGGTAACTCCTGGCGGCCGCTGTCATTCAAGTCAGGCTTAGTTGCTGAGCAACTGCCTCGCCTTGCCGCCGCGTCGGCGCTCAGCCGAGAGGCCCACCAGCCCGGCGGGCACTTCCCATAGCGAAGCCAGGGGGCTTTTCCTGCAGACGACAACTATACCACATGCCGTAACGTACTGATTTTTTTTCGCAGCCCGCCCGACGCTTGCCGCTGCTTTTCCCGCCTCCCCGAGCGGAGGAGGACCACGGCGTCGTCCCGGCGCGTCGTTTCGCGACCTTGTGCCACAGCCGAAGGTTGCTCGGCGAACCCCTTGCCCACGGCGCGGCGCGCGCGTACATGCGCCCCGCGCCCCTCGGTCTGCTGAAATGTACAATGCCACAGCGAGTTCCTCCGCAGCGTGGGAGGAGCGCACGAAAAAAGCTGCCGCCGCCAGCGCCAGACATTACACATCTGTTTGTTCATTTCTTTATACATGTGCACATTCACGTACATGGATACATGTATGTTGTATATATAATGTATGTGCAGAGTTGTATTCGTATTTTAGATGAATACTTAGCGAATGGCCTTCGGCCCTTCCCGCCACCGTGCCTGGATTGTGGGACAGAATCCTCAGGGATGCGTCTTGGGGTCTCTTCGGAGCGCTCTCAGGGGCCCCTGTGGGGCAGTTTTGGAACCTCTTGGGGGCCTCTTGGGGGCCTCTTGGGGGTCTCTTGGGAGCCTCTCGGGGGCCTCTCTCGGCTTTCTGGGGGCCTCTCGGGGGCCTCTCGGGACCGCTTGGTGGCCTCTTGGGGCATCCTAGGAGCCTTTCGGGGCCGAGGGCTCGAAATGTTCGTTCGGGTCCACCGTCTGGGCCCCATCTTGGAGCCGTCTTGTGGGCCTTTTAGGCTGTTTTGGAGGCCTCAGAAGCAGTCTGAGTGCCCTCTTGGGCCGGTTTGGGACCCTAATGTCGGCCTCTCGGGGCGATCTTGGACGCCTTTTGGGCCGTCTTGGAGCGTCGACAAACCGAAAAGGCGAGAACGCCGACATCTTCGAACAACTCCTAGCAAAATCAATGAATGTTGCCTCTTGCGGTCTTCTTGGTAGGCCTCTTGGAGACATTTTGGGGCGTCTTGGAGTCCTCCTGGGGCTTCTTGGAGCCCCTCGGACCGTCTTGGCGGTCTCTTGGGGTCCTCTTGGCCCGTCTGGGGGCCCTCTAGGGCCAGACAAAGTCATGTGACACGCCGCCCCAGACGGCGAGAGATTTGGCCCTTTGGGGTCCGGGTCCCTCAAGAATCCGCAATCCAGAGGACTGGAAGCTACAACAAGGGACTTGAGGACACGCCTCCTCCGTGCACGACGGCACGGTGGTGGATATACACGAATGCTTGTATGCGTGTTCACAGACGTGCGCATGTGCAAACGGATGAATAATGTCGGGGTTTACCCTCAAGGAGATTCGCCCTCGGGTGTAAGGGGCGAGCTAGCCCAATGCCAACCAGCCCCCTTGCCAGCTCATGCGGTTCCACGTGCCGAGGCCACTTGAATTCCACGCCGCTGATACAGATTGCAACAGTCATGTTTCACCATGCACAAATCGCGCAACAAATAACAAATTAGGCTGATCGAGAGTGGAAGGACTGGCCGCGCAGGATCCACACTGGCAGGCATCTGTTTCCGGATCCTGTGTTTTCTGATTCGGCTTACTCATGTTCTTAGTATTCGCAATCATGCTAAGTGTACATTATGAGTATCATGTGTGTTCTTGTTTATTGTTGTTATTATTATTATTATTATTATTATTCTTATTATTATTATAATTATTATCATTATTATTATTATTGTTATTATTATTATTGCTATTATTATTATTTTTATCATTATTATTATTCTCTCTTATTATTATGGTTATTATTAGTATTGTTATTATTATTGGTATTATTATTATTCTCTGCTTTCTGCCTTTCCCGAGAGATGGAGAGCCCGAGAATTTGCATCTGCTCCTGCGCGCGCCCTGGCATGCACCCCGTGCGCCACTTGCCCGTCGCGCTCCTGAGCGGGAGGCCTCGGAGGGAGGGAGTGGGGGGTCCCCGACGAGAGCCCTGGGGACCGCGCCGCGCCCAGCGTGTGGCCCCCCCCCCCCGCGGGGGGGGGCGGCCCTGGAGGCCGAAAACGGCAACTGCACCTTCCGTGGCGATCTCTGCACGGCGCGGGGAGGTCTCGGTCGGCCGTCGGCGTCCCCCTCGTCTCGGCCGCCCTGCCGAGGCCTGCTTCAATCGGATCGATCCGGTTCGCTGCCGATGCTGGCCAGGTCGACCCGAGGAGGTTCTCCTGCTCTGGCGATCCGATGCGGCCCGATGCCTGCGAGGCACTGCTGTGCATCCTGGCGCAGCCGATCCCATCCGGTCTCGGCTCCGTTCCGAGAAGGCCCGACCCGAAGCACGTTCCGATCGGATCCGCATTCGCGATTGAATGCTGACTGGTCCTGTCCCTCCTCTTCCGCAAGCCTGCTGCGCACCATGCTGGCCCACTTCTCCGAGCCGCGTCCAGCGTTGGCGCCGAAGGAGCTCCTGGCAGGCCTGCAGGAGGGAGAGGAGGTCGAGGACCCCCCCCCCTTGCCCCTTCGACCTTCGGTTCTGGCGAAGGGGGGGGGAGGATTGGGAAAGGAAGGGGGGGTACGAAATCCATTGCATACAACTGAACTCGGTCCCGCGGTTGCGCTCTCCTCGATTCGCTGGCGCTGCGGGCGCAGGGAGGCGCCAGGAAGACGCGCGATGTGAACCGAGTCGCTTTCGCTGCATGCACTTTTTGGCTCAGCGCTGGACCACGTGGGCGCCGCGAAATTGTTTTCTGGAGGTCCGTGTTTCTGTACGTCCTCAGTCCAGGACAGATTGCGAGGGCCTCACGGCTATTGCCACCGACCATGAAGGCAGGACTTCCCTCGGGAACTCTGCTGGCGACCTCCCTCGGACCCACCGGGACCCCAGGGGGGCGGCATTCTGACCCGGGACCCCCCTCCCCCCCGAGGGAATGGAAAAAGGGAGTGTGGGCTTTCCTTCGCTTTAGCTGCGGCGTTCCTTCCCTTGATTCTTAATTTCCCTGGGACTGGCGACGACGACGACGACGACGACGATGACGACAGCGTCTTCCACACGCCGAGTTGGTCGGCGGATCTTAGTCGTGGGCAGTCGACATCTGATTGCACTCAGGCCCGTCGACAGCGTCTGGTTCCGAAATCCACGAGGAAGCGTCCGTCGTGAACTTTGCGACTTCTGGAGAAGACCTTCAAACCGATCCTAGGATGTGTCCAGGATCGCTTCCTGACCTCGGCTTCGATCCGAGTCCAACCCAGAGGAGGATGAGGAGGACGAGGAGGATGAGGATTATGATACTCAGGAGATGGAGACGAGGATGTTTCATCTTATGATGGTAAGTATACTGGTGATTATGATGATGATGACGATGATGATGACGCTGATGATGATGCTTATGATGATGATGAGGATGATGATGATGATGCTGATGAGGATAATCATGCGGATGATGAGGAAGAGGAGGAGGATGAAGAGGAGGAAGAGGAGGAGGAGGACGATGACGATTGCGATGGCAATGACGATGGTGATGATGGTGTGGTGGACGATGTTGCTGCTGCTGATGATGATGATGGTGTTGATTGTACTGGTGATGATGAGGATGTCGGTTGTGAAAAGGATTGGGATGAGGATGAGGATGATGATGCCGCTGATGATGATGTTGCTGATGGTGGTGGTGGTGGTGGTGATGCAAATGGTGGTGGTGTTGATGGTGATGGAGATGAGGCTGAGTATGAGGATTCTGATGATGAGGACGATCATGCATACGACTATGATGATGCTGACGCCGATGATGATGATGCTGATTCTGATGATAATGTTGATGCTGCTGATGATGACGATGAGGACGATGCTGATGATGACGGTGATGATTATGGTGGCGATTCTGATGATGACGACGACGATGATGGTAATGTTGATGATGGTGGTGGTGGTGATGGTGTGGTTGGTGATTAGAAGAAGGATGAGGTTGCTGGTGGTGGTTGTTTTGGTGGTGGTGTGGTGACGATGGGGCTGATATTGATGGTGGTGATTATGGTGAAGACGGTGACGACGGTGATGGTGATCCTGGCGGTCGGGATGACGATGCTGATGATGAGGATGGTGTTGATGCCGATGATGATGGTGATGATGATGATGGTGGTGGTGGTGGTGATGATGATCATCATCATTGTGACGATGCTGGGTATGAGGTGATGGTGGTGATGATGATGATGCTTATGGTGATGATTGTGTCGATGATGGTGGCGATGGTGGTGGTGGTGGAGGAGGTGGACTACAGCGACGAAGGCGGCAACGACGGCAACCCTTCCCAGGCGCATCGGCCGACGTGATCAAGGGCATCGTGCGCTGCCAGGACGAGCTGTGCTGCCACCACTGGCAGCTCTACCTCGCCACGCACCCCGAGCTCACGTATGGTGGCACCGCTCATTTTTTGTTGGGAGGGAGGGCCCACGACTGGCGTCTCGGAAGAATCACGATGGAGATTTCCCGCAGATTCCCAGCGCCGCTTCCAGATCCATGGGTCGGCGACGACTTTTCAACATGAAGAGCGGATCCCAGGGAGGAGGCCGAGAGTTCCATTCGAACAGATAATTGCCTAACCATATTTTCTCGGAGGTCCGCGCGGATTTCTTTGATCAGCGTTGGGCCCCCCTGGCGGCGCCTCAGGCGCCGCCATTGGCGCTCTCTGGTAAGAGCGGACCTTGGGGAGGAGCTCGAGAGTTCCATGTTCCAGCGACCCGCAGAGATCGAGTCGTCGGAGGTTTGGGGTGGAGGCCGGAGGGAGAGGGAGCAGGCACTGCGGGTTCGGCCCCTTTAGCAGGGAGCCATGGGGCCCTCTGGGCGACCGACAGCGCGCCCGCAGCGTCGGCCCAGCGAGTGCGTCCATTCTCAAGCGGAGACGGGAAGAGAGGGGGAGAGCATGAGGACACAACTGCCAACATACCTTGGCCTCCCTGACGGAGACGAATCACACCATGTCCCGGAAGCAAGACACACGAATGGGGTAACCGACCCCCCCAGCAATAAATCGTCCCCCCTTTCACGATCAAGAGTGGATGATCCCCGGCCAACACAGAGTTGGTCACGGGAGAGGGGCGGCAAGGCCGAACTTTTTAACCGCGAGGGAAAGTTGCGAATCGAAGTTGATATCTTCTTATGTCGACTAGCAACGTCGCGAGGAGCGCCAATGATCTCAAGAGCGCGGGGTAGCTTTACAGGATCTCAAGAGCATGTGCCAAGGATCTCTGGAGCACGGCCAAGGATGAATCGTGCCGAGGATCTCTCTCGTCGTCGACTTGCTGGGACGCCATCGTTTATTCTCACCCCTGGACCCGGGTTTGCTAGTATACCCTGGGTTTAAGTCGGGCCTGTCCCTGAACAGGGTGGAAATTCAGAAATAGCCAGAAGATCATCAGGAGACGATGTTTTGACAATTTTCGAGCATTTTTGGAATCTGTTTTTTGAGTATTTTTTCATTTTTCGCCCAGAATCCCTCTGTAGGGGGACAGGCCCGACCCAACCCTCGGTGTTTTTATCAGCGGGGTTCGGTTGCTCCTGGCAGGCAGGGGGCACCCGAGGCCCTCCGACATGTGAACCTCGCCCGCTGCCGACGCCACCGAGGCGCCAGCGCACGATGCAGAGGGCGAGGCGGGCAGGATGGAGGGCGAGAGGATCAGATACCCCAGGACGGGAGGAGGAGGAGGAGGAGGAGGAGGAGGAGGAGGAAAGGGAGGAGGAGGAAAGGGAGGAGGAGGCGGAGGAGGAGGAGGAGGAGGAGGCGGAGGAGGAGGAGGAGGGGCAGGAGGAGGAGGAGGGGAATGTTCCTGGTTCCAGAAGAGGGCGCCCTCCCGCTCCAAGAAGCAACCTTGGGCGGCGCTGCCTCTGCAGGACGCGCCCGCGCCCCCCCGGCGAAGTGCTCGGCAGGCCACGCGCCCTCATCCCGTGTCGCCCAGACGGCGCGCACGTGCACAGCTTCCGCCTGCCGGCCAGCAGAGCGTCTCGGCAGCGTGGCCCCGCAGTTGCCGAGGGCGTCGGGCTGCGAGCGGCCACCTGGCAGGGGATGCAGTGCTGTCCCTTCGCCCACGATCGGCGCCCATGCACGTGTGAAAGCGTGACGAGGCGGCGCCGAAACCGGGATATCGCACGTTGGGCAAGGCGCCGCCCCCAGAACACTGACAACTCCACGGGGCGGCCCGGAGAGGACAGAGGAAAGAGCTTGGCTTGTGCTGGGAGACTCTGTTGCAGCTTCCCGCGGCAGTGTGCCTCTCCGAGACACCAGACGCGCTCCTCGTACGCCGCCCGTGTGCCTGCTGCCTCCGCAGCGATCCAAGTGGGCCAGCCTGGAAAACTCTAAGACCCGAGCAACTCCAGCGAGGACCTGGACCGTGCGCTGCTGGCCGCCGCACGTGTCCTGACAACAACCTACCTGTAGGGGCCGCTGTCGGGGAGGAGCCATAGAAAGCGCTGCTCGACGCGATGCCGCGTCCAGAGCTTGCCCTGCCCGAGCAGGAGAGCACCCAGCCTGGTTCCGCAGCACCCGCGCCCATGACGCGCAGCTCAGGACACGGAGCTTCTGGCTGGCCTCCTTGGCCAGCGCGCAGAGCCATCGATCGAAGCGGGAGGTGGGTCCCGTCCTCCCCTTTCGCATCCCTGCGGCATTTGCCGGGGGGGAGGGGCCCGCTGCCCAAGAGTCCCGCGAGCTCTGCCACCTGCGCTGCCGCTGCTCCAAGGTGGGCCAACAGAACCTGCTCGTCGGCGAGGTCCTAATGTCACGAGGGCCGCAACCAGCAGTGCGAGCAGCCCATCAAAACGCCGAACACCTTTGAAGCCCTACTCCCACTCCCCGTAAACAGATTCAGAGCAATTGAGGAAGCCTCAGACCCCCTCACTCTCCTAACTACTGTCGCCTCCTCCTCCTCCGTCTCCTCCTCCGTCTCCTCCTCCCTCCTCCTTCCTGCTCCTCGCAGCAGGGGGATGAGAAGCCCCCGATGGATCGATTGCCTCAGTGATACACGTAAGCCCTGGAGTCGAACATATCTGGGATGGTGTAGAGAGTCACTGGGATGCACCTGGACAACACCATCACGATCTCATATGCCCTGTGAGCGGTCATTGCAATGAGGATGACGAGGACGAGGATTCTGATCAGTATGCGGAAGAGGATGCGTTAGTATATTACGTTTCGGTACAAGGCAGGGGGGGATGAGGACACAGCTGTGAGGAGGAAGAGGAGGAGGAAGAGGAGGGGGAACGGCAGCAGAAAGAAGGAGGAACGGCGAACGAACAATCTGAGTATGTTGAGAAGTCTGAAGATGAATATGATGACGAGGAGGACGTGGAGGGCATGGAGAACGATGGGAACGAACAGTTGAAGTATGAGAACAAAGAAGTCGTGGAGCAGGAGGAGAATAAGGAGGAGCAAGGGGAGGATTAGGGGGAGGAGTACGAGTAGGAGAAGGGTAAGGAGGAGCAGGGCGACGATGATGAGGCCGTGAGGAGGATGATGATGAGGAGGAGGAGGAGGGGGAGGGGGGGGGGGAAAAGGAGGAGGAGGAGGACGAGGAGGAGGAGGAGGAGGAGGAGAATGATGAGGAGGAGGATGCCGCGACTCTGCCACGCCACAGGGGGCCCACACCCTCTGGGCGTTACCTCCCCCCTGCCCCCCTGGTCCTCCACCCCCCCTTCTTCTCCCGCCACGTGTCTGGGTGCCCCGCATGCGGGGGAGGAGGAGGAGGGCCCAGCCCCGGGCGTCCCCTCCCCCTTTTCGTTTCGCTTCCCCCTCTCTCCCTGGTGCCCTCCAGCAGTGCCCGCGCTGAGTTGCCCTGACCTTGAGTGGTGCGCCAGGAAGGCGCACCAGGCCGCTGGTCCCACCAGAGCCGTATCAGTTCAAGTCCTCCCATCATGCGGACGGGGCGGGAGGTGGGGGAAGACGCTCCCCCGCTGAGCAGGGGCCTTGGGCCACCTCTCCCTCCTCTGTCCTCTCCCCTTGGGCTCATGGGTGGCGCTGATGTCAGCCCAGCGGAAGAGTGTCTGCTCATCGGTTCCTTGAATCCGTTTCGGCGGGCAGGATGGGTGGGGTGAGCGACGTTATGCTTCCCGTCTGCAGGTGACTGGGAGAACATGCTCTGCCTTGGCCGCGTGCGCGAGTTCATCGAGCACGGCCCTCCGGGCTAAGGGGGCGGGGGTGAGGGGAAGGGGGATGGGAATGATGACGGGACGAGGAGGGATGAGGAGGAGGGGTGGGTGCGGGGGAGAAGGGGAAGGGTAGGAGGATAAGCTAAATGCGCTCGCACTGCATCTGACATCCTATCCCTCTCTTCCCTCCCTTCCCATTGCGCTGATGTTTGTCTCTATCCGCGGACACGCGCCACAGCCAACCTGGAACTCACAAAAAGACCCTAAAGTGTTCTGGGCAATCGGACACGCCGAGGAGGAGGAGGAGGATAACGAGGTGGTGGGTAAGCAGGATTATGAAGGAGGGGTGGCGCGGGGGGGGTGGGGTCTTGGGGAGAGGAGGAGGGGGGGGGCAAGGGGGGGGAAAGGAGGAGGAACAGGCCGTCGCGGATCACTGAACCTTCCCGATGTGGGGCGTCGGCGTCAGTGGGTGGCGTCGGGTGGGCGCGCACAGACCCGCTTTCGGATGCAGGAGGAGGAGGGGGGGGGGCGAGGTGGGGAGGACGAGGAGCGACAGACCAGGGCTTCCTCTTCACGACGCCCCCCCCTGCGAACCTGCCTGGTCTCCGCTCGGTGGTGCGAAGCGTTGCGCCGAGGCTGGGCCCCCGCTTCGGGCCCCAGCTCGTGGGTTGGCTTGGCACCGAGAGGAGGTCGATTCTCCAAGGGGAGGCGTGGAAAGGAGAGGGCCATCAGAAGCACCGAGCTCAGGAGAGGATAGGGATCATGAGGGGGCCAGTGAAGAACAAGGAGAGAGAGGCAAGGATGGTGGTGGTGGTGGTGGAGGATACTAGGAGAAGGAAGAGGAGGAGGAGGAGGCGGAGGAGGAGGAGGAGGAGGAGGAAGAGGATAAGGAGGAGCAGGAGGAGGAGGTGGATGATCCTGAGGGTAGAATATGGTGATGCTGAAAAGGAGGAGGAGGAGGAGGACTAGGAGGAGGAGAAGGGGACGGAGGAGGCGGGGGGGAAGAAGAACAGGAGGAAGAGAAGAGGAGGAGGAGGAGGAGGAAGAGAAGGAGGAGGAGGAGGAGGAGAAGGAGAAGGAATAAGAGGAGGAGGAGGAGGAGGAGGAGGAGGAGGAGGGGAGGAGGAGGAGGAGATGAGGAGGAGCTCATGATGCAACGACACTGTTGCAATACACCCATTCGTCCCGAGCACCAGCCCCATGTAATCAGTTTTCTTGTGGGAAGCGCCGCCTGAAACACGAACACGGAACGTTGAGCAATAGTTTCTTGCTGCCACATCCAGCATCGCCGTTATCTTAATACGTATTTTATAATGGTCATTCGCATTCCCCCATGTTTCTTTTTCATCTTCCTCCTTCTCGCCATACCTTGCGAATCCGTCCCCGTCCTCGAATCTTGTTGCGGAAGCTCCTTCTTGGGCGAGTCCCTTGGGGACCCCACGAGTGTTTCGAAGGGCTTCCTTAGGCCTTCTGGAGGCCTCTGGGGCTCCTTCTGGGGACCTCTGGGGAATTTCTCGGGCCACCCTGCTTCCAAACACGGTCTCCCTCAACGATTGAGGCACGATTTGGAATGCTTCGGGGGGGGGTCTAGAGGCCAGCTTAGGCCGTCATGGGTTCCTCGTCGTACCATCTTGGGGCCCTGTTGGGCAGTCCTGGAGCTCTCTTGGACTGCCTGGAAGCTCTCTTGGGCCGTCTCGGGCGATGTTCTGCCCTCCTGGGCGGTCTCGGACGTCCGGAAAACCGACGAGCAGAACATCCCCAACACCAAAGAACAACCATTGGTCATCAAGGTTTTTTTTTTTTTGCGTTTCGGAGGCCTCTTGCGGGTCTTCTTTGGGTCGTCCTCGGGCGTCTGGTGGGTGTCTGGGGCGTCTTGGGGCTGTCGCGGGGCCCTTCGGCCGCCCTCCTGACCGATACGGGCCCGCTGCCTAGGCCAAGCATGGGCTTCCAGGAGCCACAGAAAACCTGGAGGACCTTCTGCAGGGGCGCCCAGGGTGCAACAGGGGCCACGGATCCAGGGGGTCCCTTTTTTTTGGAGCAATTTCTCCCCCCCGAGCTTGCAACAAACATAGACACAGGGAATGTGCGCAGGGATGCGGCAACCGTGTGACTACAAGCCAGAACAGATATCTCAGTGTTCCGGTTCCGTTTCCGTTCTGTCGTTGTCCAGTTCTTCCTTATGTTTTTTCTCGTATTTCTTTTCTCGTTGATCTTGCCCTTCCCTGCGAAACTTTTCATGCCTCCTTTTGCAGCGTTTGTTGTGCGGAGGCTCCTCATTGGAGGGCCTCTCGATGACCTCACAGAAGCTCGTTGGGGCCTTCTTGGGGGCCTCTGGAGGCCTCCTGGGCGAGTTTTGGGGCGCTATAGGGACTTCTTGCGGCCACCCTGCTTCCAACCACGGTCTACCTTAACGAGTGGGCCAAGATTTGGAATGCTGTGGGGAGGGGCGTCTTGCAGTGGGCCGTCATGTGGCCTTCTTCGGCCCATCGTGTGGCCCTGTCGGGACGTCTTGGGGCTCTCTCAGGATTCCCAAGTGCCGTTTGGCAATTTTTGATGCTCACGAATCATGTGGAGCATTAATGCTTTTGCTGTGGGGTGGCCTTTGGGGAGTCTTCTTTGGGTCATCTTTGGGCGTCTTGGGCGTGTCTGAGGCCGCTTGGACCTCTCGCGGGCCGGCCGGGCGCTCTTCTCACCATTCTGGGCCCGTTTTCGATGTCAGCAAAAACGTCCAGGAGGCAGGGAAGGCGGAGGGAACGCTTTGCATGGTGCGTCCCAGGGGCCGGCATTTGTTCCCAACCATCCTGTGGTGTTGGGTCCTCGTTTTGAAGAGACAGCGCCCCACGTTCACTCCTCCTTTCGCTGCCCCCTCCGTCCTCCTCCTCCTCCCTCCTCCCTCCTCCCCTCCCTGCCTCTGCTCTCCGCATGCCCATCCCATATCGGCACACCCCTCACACGTTTCATGGCCCCACGGGGAGCTCCACCGAAGGCCCCAATGGGAAAGTTCGCATGGCACCGCCGCCCCACTTCGGCACACCCCCCACACGTTTCGTGGTCACATGAGGAGCCCTACCTAAGGCCCCGGTGGGAGAGTTTGCATGGCACCGCCGCCCCATTTCGGCACACCCCCAACACGTTTCGTGGTCACATGAGGAGCTCCACCTAAGGCCCTCTGGGACAGTTCGCATGGCACCACCGCCCAATTTCGGCACACCCCTCACACGTGTCGTGGCCCCGTAGGGAGCTCCACCGAAGGCCCCAGTGGGAAAGTTTGCATGGCACCGCCACCCCATTTCGGCACACCCCTCGCTCGTTTGGTGGCCCCATAGAGAGCTCCACCTACGGCCCCAGTGGGAAAGTTTGCATGGCACCGCTGCCCCATTTCGGCATACGTCTCACACGTGTCGTGGCCCCATGGGGAACTCCACCGAAGGCCCCAGTGGGAAAGTTCGCATGGCACCGCCGCCCCCTTTTCGGCACACACCTCTTACGTTCCGTGGCCCCATAAGGAGCCCCACCTAAGGCCCCAGTGGGAAATTTCGCATGGCACCACGCCCCATTTCGGGACACCCTTTACACGTTTCGTGGCCCCGTAAGGAGCTCCACCTAAGGCCCTCTCGGAAAGTTCGCATGGCACCGCCTCCCCATTTCGGCACACCCCTCACACGTTTCGTGGCCCCATAGGGGGCTCCGCCAACGGCCCCAGTGGAAAGTTTGCATGGCACCACCGCCCATTTCGGCACACCTCTGACACGATTCGTGGCTCCATGGGGAGCTCCGCCGAAGGCCCCAGTGGGAAAGTTCGCATGGCACCGACGCCCCATCTCGGTACACCCCTCACACGTTTCGTGGCCCCACTGGGGAGCTCCGCCGAAGACCCCACTGGGACAGTTCGCATGGCCCCGCCGCCCGATTTCGGCACGCCCCTCACACGTTTCGTGGTCCCGGGGCGCTTCCGCCCCGCGTTCACTCCTCCTTTCGCTGCCCCCTCCGTCCTCCCCCTCCTCCCTCCTCCCTCCTCCCCTCCCTGCCTCTGCTCTCAGCATGCCCGTCCCATACCGGCACACCCCTCACACCTTTCATGGCCCCATGGGGAGCTCCACCTAAGGCCCCAATGGGAAAGTTCGCATGGCACCTCCGCCCCATTTCGGCACACCCCTCACACGTGTCGTGGCCCCGTATGAGCCCCACGGAAGGCCCAAATGGCGACGTTCGCAGGTGTCTTTTCAGTCGGCACATTCTTCACACGTTTCGTGGCAGAAGGCTGTGCCGCGTGCGCTACTCGGAATTTGCACCCCCCATCATTGGTCTCATCTCCCTCGCGGCACTCGCAGCTGCATATGGTTGGGTCCTTCGGCAGGCTATTTTTTGGGGGGGGCTCGGTGTGACATGGCCCCCACCGGTTCGTAACAATACCGTCGATTTTACGATTAAGAAACCTCCTTCCAACTATGTGGGCCAGCGTTTCTTAACCAACTTGCCAGGAAGATGGCCCAGTTTCTTGAGCATGTTTGCACCTCTCAGCGTTAACAACAGGCGTTGGCCCAGGTTCGTTCAAGGAAGATCTGGGAAGATGGCCCAGGTTTCCTGAACGATAGATCTCTTGATCGTATTCTCGACTGTACATCTTGCTATTTCTGTGTGTTATGCGTACGCAGTAGGAACGGTGAGGGGAAGCGCTGGTGACAGACGGAGGGCGGCAGGATAGATGTCATGGAGAACGGAAAGGCGATAGGAGGCTGTTGTACGAGGTGGAAGCATTGATTGGCGGCGAGCGAGGAGGGGAGGGGCGAAGGAGAAGGCCTTCTCAGAAAGCGATAGGGCTTCTCAGAGGCCCTCCGGCCTTCTGGAAGGTTACCTGAGTCTTGGGGAAGTCTTTGAATCTGTCTCGGAAGACCAGGGCACTTCCGAGCCTTCTGAGAAGGCCCGCCCTATCTCACTTCCCCCCAGGCTCGCCACCGAGAATCGGGTCCGTCCAGGCGACATGATACCCCTGCGGCATGCCATCAATCGGTCGCAAGACGTTGCATTCCCTTCCCTGACCCCTGACTGGGTTCCTTTCGATTACTTTCGATTACTTCCGTGGGACCGGTTCTTCATCATGGGCCGTCTTCTTCGTGGTTCAGAGGGCCAAACAATTTAAGTCAGGGTGTTCTTTTGAGTCGCGTGAGATTTGCGGTTTTTCCTCATCCAACTATTCAGGGATTCCTCATTCAATGTCCCGCTTGCTGACTGACACTGTCCTGGAGGTGTCGGCGTGCTGTACGCGAAGACGCAGATGGGAGATGTGGTGGGCTATTTGTCGTTCTCCAGGCCGAGGGGAGGGATGGGTTTGCAGGGAGATGGGGAGCCGTATTGAATGTACATGGACCATGGGGTAAGTTGCAGATATTGGAACGATTCTCCGAAACCCATGCTCGGGAGGTACCCTGACATCCGGAGGCGTGGGCAAACCTGACAATGTTTGCTGGAGCTCTCAACCCTACCTTTCCAGCTGAGTTGTCGAATCGGATAGGTTCGTGGAAGATCTCGAGGGCCTACGGAGGCCAAATAGTCCGTCGTAGTTTCCATCCCAAGCTTGGCTTGGGTGTGAGTGTCCAGGAGCCCCAGTGAAAACACAGAGTCTACAGCTTCGCCGAATGACGCGAAGGCATGCTACAACAGCATACGCACAAAGCTCATACGCCTGAAGATCGCCGAAACCTTCAGAAAACAAATACCTGCGACAGCTTACGGAGCCACCACGAACTCTTTGAAACAAATCGGTCCTGTCCGTAAGCCTCTGTAGCCTGCCGAGAACTTGCGGGTGCAACCGTCGACGAGCCGAGAAGTTTCTGAGCGTCTCTGAGGGCATCACAGCGAAGGGAGGGTAGGGAGGAGGGAAGCGGAGGGGAGGGAAGGGAGGGAAACGCGGAGGGGAAGGAGAGACGGGACAGGGGAAAGTGGAGCCAGGGGAGGGAGAAGAAGAGGTGGCAGGAGAAAGAAAACGGGAGAGGGGAGAGGAGAATGTGGGGGAGGACGGGGGAGAAGGGAAGGGGAAGGGAGAACGCGGGATTGAGAAGGAGAAGGGGAGGGGGACGGGAGACGTGAGAGGGGAGAGAATGGCAGGAGGAAGGTGGGGAGGCGACATCGGAAAGGAGTCCTGATTCGTCGCCAGTCAGTTGGTTCAGCTGGATTGAACTTGTCCGCACCCGGCGCCCCAAAGTCTAGAAGCTATACACGTCGGATTTCGTACCGTCTTGCCGGTCATACTTCGAAGTTACGCGTTGTGGTGTACCCATCAGACGTTACGGCGACACATGCTTTCTGGCGACGCGTAAGTTGCAAAAGCGAACCTTCCCTTCATGCTACGACTTGGTGAAATGCTCTTCGGGACAGAATAAGAGACATGCTCTCTCATCCATGCCTCGTGAACTCCGCGAGAGCAGCAAATGGCGCGCTGTGGACAGGACTCTACCTTCGGCGAGCCTCGCCTTCGGCGGACGGCCAGCGGAAGCCGGCGGAAGTAAAGCGACGACGGGTCCGCTGACGGAAACGGGCGGCAGGTCGCGGAGCCTTGGTCTGGCATCTCCGCGCCCTGGTGGTAGAATTAGGACCCCTCGGCGCCTTCACTCTGTGTGCTTTCTCTCGGGCTTTCGGTTGGCTTTCAGTAAGTCTCTCGTGCCCAGTTCCTCAGTAGGTATCCTGCTAGCCCAGCCCAACACTGGGCCACCATGTGCCTACCGGGGAGCTCGGCGCAACAGACAGACAAGAGTCCAACGCTGGTCTTCCAGTCGTCTGACCATGAGGGAGCAGAGCGGTGAGGCACGGAAGACGCGGCGGAAGTCTCGGCGTCGCCCCAACATACTCATACTGTATGTGCGTCGCCCCCCCAGGGGCCACGCGCGCACCGAGAAATCTTATAGTATAGGCGTCGTGGCGGGCGCTTTCTGGCCACACCGCTCGGGAAACGATCTACTACAAGATAGGCATGCTACATGTTCGGGTCGGGCGCGCGCCTCCAAGGAGGACACACAGTGTTGGTATGTCTCTGTGCGTCCCAGAAGTCGGCGAGATGCGGGCATCTTCGGGTCCGGTGCCTCGGGAGCGAGCCGGGCGGCGACCCCCAGGCTGGCTCAAAGGCCGCTGCGGCCCGAGCCCGCCCCCCGCGGCCTGTGGGGCGGGCTTTCCGCCTGCCCCCTTCTCGTCTCCTCCTCCTCCCTCCTCCTCCTCCTCCTCCTCCTCCTCCTCCTCCTCCTCCTCCTCCTCCTCCTCCTCCTCCTCCTCCTCCTCCTCCCCCTCCCCCTCCTCCTCCTCCTCCTCCTCCTCCCTCCCCTGGGCTGCAGGCCCCAAGGCCCAGACCGTCGCGCGTCCCCTCAGATGCTGGCGCTGCATCTTCTCGAAGATCAGCGGGGGACCGTGGTCTCATTTCGGGCCACAGGACCCTCACAGATCGACCCGGCTCGAAAAATGGCGCAGAATGATGGGGTCTGCATTGCCAGGGCCACCACGCTACGGCTGCTGCGGCCGCCCTCCTGGCGATAGGTGTGTATGCGTTGTACAAGACACACAACGCGATCAGGCTTGGTCTCCCGGGCGCCGACGGGCAAGCGGCATTCCACGGTTTTACTCTCGACGCGGCGCGGGGCCCGCCGAAAGCCCAGCAACTCGTCTAAGTCGCTCTGAAACGACCCAGGCCTGGAAGCTAGAACACCATCTCGACAGTACTTAGTGTATGTGTGTGCGCTTTCTATCATCTCGTTTCGCTCGTACTCCGGCGCGCCCAGTCGGCTGCGTGCTCGCTGTTCCCTCGCCCCTCCCGTCTTCCCTTCCTCCTCCTCCTCCTCTCCTTCCCTCTTCTCCCTCCTGCCCGAGTCTGGGGCCATTGAGGCCTTCTGGTGGTCCTCTGAATGCGATTGCTCTCTTTCCTGCCTGCGCACCCGTGGAGCACTCGACGCGGTAGGAACCAGGGCCTGTTTTCGATCGACGGTGTCAGCCGGGCCGTGCACCCGTCCTTCTCCCACTCGTCTCACTGTGGATTGATGCAGCTGGTCATTTGGACCGCCCCACCAGGGATGTCGTGAATCCTTCGTAGGCGCTCGTTCCCATTCTCCTCGTCCTCTTCCCTGTTCTTCCTCGCTCGTGCCTAGTTCTTCTTTGCTTCTGGCAGGGGCCAGAGGTGGAAGCAGCCGATTGGAGTGGCCTCCGTTGTGGGCTTCACTATGCCTCCTCGTCCTCTCCTCTGCCTCCCTCCTCCTCGAACCATCTTCGTCTCACAGTGTTAGTCGCATTGAGATTGTTGTCGCAATGCGTGATGCTAGGTGTGATGTGAGGCTTGTTGATGCTTGTTTGTTGAGAAAACAATTTGAATTATGGAGTCTAATGGGGCTCCGGTCGTGATGCTTCGCGATGCTGCATGTCTTTTCAACGTTGGATCTCAGGGTCGGGACAACAAATCACAACGGCAGGTTCTTGGTAAGTTCCTGCATCCGGCGGCCCCCCCGAGCCCCGTGCAAGATGAAAATGGGCTCGGGAGGAGCCCGTCCTGGAGAGTGAGTCTGGACCGCGTGGCGGACACTTTGCGACTTTGGGGGGTCTCGGGAGCTCTCCTTCCCCCCCCGGGGCCTCGGCGTCTGCATCGCAGTGGGGCCCTTTTTCCTGGCGGCCGTCAGGGCCCGAGGAGGCTCCCCGCCCCGCGCGGGGGCCGAGACCGGGGCAGCACGCCAGCGTGGCAGCAAGAGCAGCTCAGAGATCGCAGCGATTCGGGCCGGCCATCAGCCCTGGCCCCGGGGCCGCGAGCGCCCGGAAGTCCCCCGCATGCGCAGGAGGCGCCGCATATGTGACAGGGGTGGGGTCTCCCCCCCCCCCCGGCCGGCCACAGGTCCACCGTCTGGGAAGAAAAGGTGGGCGGCGATAACTAGGCCGCTATGGGGCCCTTCTGCGCCCACGTGACGAACGAGGGGGCGCCTGCTTTTAGCACGCTTTGGCATGCGCACCTCGGCGACCAAGGGAATTGAGAGGCGTCGCCTAGGACGGGCCCAGGGAGAGCGAACGACGGTTGAAGTGCCAGCTGAACTCGTGGTCCGTGGGCAGGCAGAGGGGTGCAAACCGCCCGTTGAGCGTCGATGAAGCCTTGGAGATTGGCTGGGAGGGCTGCTCTGGGAGCGACTGCAGCCCGAAAGCCCTGTTGCAGGCCGCTGCAGGCCTCCCGCGTTCAGCTGCTCTTGTCGATCAGCGGTGCTGATGGTTCCTGTAAGTGCTGGAGGGAGTGCGTCAGCTGGTTGGCTCGATGATGGAACGATTGCGTACCGGCGGCGGGAGTGGTCTCGCGATCCCTTTGGTGCTTCTGATTCGTCGCCGTCAAGCTCTCCTCTGTGGTCTAGGCGACCAGGGACGGGCTCATAGCCTGCTTCTTGAGGTTGCGTGGCTAGAGGATGGGGGTCCCGTCGGCTGGGTTCTCGCCTTTCGACCACAGGGCTTTCCCGTTGACGACGGAGGGGCCCATCTGTGGCACCTCGAATTTGAGTTGGTACGGTGCCCTACCGCGGTGGCCCCCCCACGACAGGTGCAGGTTCCGCCGTGGGTTTGGCGATCGTCGGGCGCGTCGAGAAGCGCCCGCCCAGGAGGCGCGCAGCCCGCGCCAGGGATGCGTCGAACTTCCCAGTTGGTCACATGGCGGGGCGTGGCCGTTGGATCCAGCTGGCGCTCGTCCATTTGCCTTTCGTCAGCGGCTCGTTGCGGCTGCGTTGTGCTGGCGAACGTGGGGCCGCTGGCGCCGAGGGGTGAGGCTTCGGTTGGGGATTCTGGGCCCCGTCTGAGAGTCGGGATCACCTAGCCCGCGGGGGCTTGACACGCGCGCGCGCGTTGCCGCGGTCGTCGCGGTGGCGCCTCGTCGCGGTAGCGAGCTGCTCGCTTGCGCCCGTCCTCGGCAAAGGCCTCGCCCCCCCGCGCGCCCCCTGTGGCCTCCTTGGCTGGGCTCTGCCAGCAAGGCCTCGGTCGGTCGATCGAGGGGTGGAGCTGGAGCGCGACTGTGCTTCGTCGAGGCTAGCGGGCCCTGGTGGCGCGCCCACTTCCGCCAGTTCTGGCGGGGGCGCGTTAGGGTGGGCATCGCTTTCAGCGGTCTTCCTGCAGCGCCTTCGGGAGAGCCGCCCTCGCGCAGCTGTAGGGCAACGCAACGCTGCGTCTCTGCGGTCTGCCTGGTGGCCTCTGGCCATTTTCCCGTTGAGGAGGTCCGCCACCTCCTGTGCAGTGACGTCAGTGATTCCTAAGGTGACGAGAGCCCGCGCGCGGTTGTGCCGCGTCCGCGCCCCGTGGCCCGCGCGCGCGGGGGGAAG